ATCATCAACTCAACTACAGCCTTTCGGACCACCTTTAGAGAAACCAAAGACATGACAGTGGCCGGCATGTTTCTCCCTAACTCTTCAACGTGGAACAAACCTATGATCGAATCTCTCCTGCCTGGTTACGTCTCAGAAATCATTTCTATAAAGCCAAGTCAACTTGGGAGCCTTGATAAATTAGTTTGGCTTGGAAAATCAACAGGAGCATACACTACAAAGACTGGATATTTCACAGCTCTAGACAAGATAAAACAGAGGAAGATCGTCACAATGATATTGACTTTAACTGGATATCGGCGATTTGGAAGCAAAAAGTGAGCCCAAAACTGAAGTTATTCCTCTGGAAAATTGCAAATAAAGCTCTCCCTGTGGGAGAAAGACTGATGGCACGGCAAATCCCTGTGGACCCTTCATGTAAGAGATGTGGAGAGTTGAATCAATCACACACCTTCTTTTCCAATGTTCTTTCTCTCAACAAGTTTGGAGGATGGCTCCGTTCTCAAACATTACGGAAACGGGCCAATGGGATGTATATGAGACAGCGTGGGATCACCTTAAGGATAAGACATGCTTACCACCGTTAGGAGTAAGTAAGGGTCCCCTTTCACCATGGATCTTATGGTCCTTATGGTCGAGTCGTAACAAGCTGATTTTCAGTGAAAAAGTTATAACGCCTACGGAAACCCTGACTGCAGCCATAACCATTGCCAAACAGTGGCTTGAAGCTCAGTCTGAACAACCACTCAGAAACAGAGCAAGCACCACGATGAATCAAGGACTTGAAACAGAGTTGATAGTTTGCCAATCTGATGCGGCTTGGCGAATTGAAACAAAAACGGTCGGGTTAGGGTGGACATTCCGAGGTGAAAATCGGACCTGGGAACATAGCCAAACCGCCTCATATGTTTGCTCACCGCTACTGGCAGAGGCTCTAGCCTTAAAAGAAGCCGTGTACTCTGCCTTGGAAAAGGGATTTACCAAAGTGAGATTTGAATCCGATTCATCTCAACTCATCAACGCCATCAATTTGGACTCGTCGTTCCTGAATTTATATGGCACCATCGAAGACATTAAGGCACTCGTCCAAACCCTTGAGTTTGTTTCTTTTGTTTGAATCAACCGCAATTTAAATGTAATAGCTGATAGACTTGCCAAACAAGCTACCTTAGGTGAGGTAGATGTAAGCTCGTGAGAGGAGTTTTAATGAAAAAATTCACCCTTCTGATT